GCTTAGAGTTAACTGGTTAGCGGTTTAGCAGGCTGATAGTTTCAGAAGAGAATTAAAAAAAAGAAGAAATCATAAAATCATAATGGGCAGCATGAGACCTCGATGCGAATCATCCAAAATCCATCAACTTGGTATTCACATGGTACATGGTATTCACTGAGAACATTTTGCGGAGGCGCCATTTCGAAGTGCACCCTATCGCCAGCATCCAAACTTCTACACAATACAACAGTAGGTCAAATGGCCCCGTGAACTGAGCCTCTATCAGACTGTAGGTAGCATTGCTTTGTTGTACAAACAGCCACAGCTAACACGGCGATTTGTGACGCTGGTAAGCAACAGAACGTTCACCTAGACAGACATGTACAATTATGTCGATCTACTAGTAAATGACATATTACGGTCAAGCAGCGCGTCCCTCCAAAGAAAGACGAGCACTTTTCATTTTCTAACACATATCGTATAGTGGACTTAAAGATAAAGAAAGGACAACATGTTACGAGTTATGACTAACTGTCCACCAACGTAACCAGATCATAATACAGTCAGTGAGTGCGACAAATAATCGTATAGTATTGTCGTTAGCGACCACAACACATGTACTATTAGGCACACTCGTGTGGATATACAACACTGTCTGACGTCACAGCAATAATATCCACTCATGAAATTTCCACCAGACAAGCAAGAGCACAAGTCATTGCACCTATTGCTTTGCGAGCGATGTCGTACAGTGTTACACTCTATAGCGATCAGACGCAGTCTCTTACGTGTAATCCGGTCGTCCTGGCAAGTTAACGTCACTATCCAGACCGACTCCACGACCCTTGAAAGATGGTAAACTAACCTACAGAGGAGAAAAGAAGAAGTCGAAGAAATGCTTGACCGGAACAGTTTTGACTTTTTCAGGAAGCGCACTCTACCTTGTCCCGGCAACCGCCCGCAACAACGGAAGGGGTTCTACATTCTACAGCACCACAACTGGCAAGGCAGTCCAGTGCCGACAGACGGGTGCTTCGCTCTCCGACCATAACAAATTAGCCACGCGTTATCAGAAGTTTGCCACAAATTCAAAAACGACCAGGTAAAGAAGGTAAGTTGAACTCACACTGCCATGCGTCGTTCGTCGCTGACAAGTGCTCATCAAGACGAGGCGTATAGTTTTGATTACAAAGGGCTGTGGACTAATGGTCTTGACACGCCTTAACAAATGCAAGCCGAAATAGGGAGTAAAGAATTTAGCGACAGTTCAGACTGCAAGCCACAGAGCAACGGACGAATATCAACAGGTCGACAAATGAATTGCACGTGTTCTAGTACTTACATCAGTCTTTTTTCAACGGAACACGCTTCCACGTAACTCACGCATGCGCAGACCAACTGAGAATGGCAGCGACTTCTTCACTCGCCAGCAGGAGTCGTAAAAGCCCTGGTTTCGAGGAAAAAAAGAGAACAAAATAGCGAAGGCATCAAGGTTGGGTACAGCTGCAATGGAGCAGCAGTGAAACACTGCATGCACAACAGCCGTGTGGTTGGCGGAGAACAGATACCTGCCATGGCCCAAACCAAAAAAGAAGTTGATTCGGAAAGAAGAAGATTCAGAATTACTAGACAAACCCATGGCAAACGAAACCAACCACTTACTGACAATGAAGCCGCTCGGTGAAACTTCTCACGAAGCTGTTGTTACATAGCGCAAATCTGCCTTTACAGACACCCACCGTTTTGCCAGTCTTCTCCAAGACGCATAGCTTTTCGTCCAGTCCCTATCTATTTCAGGCCACAACCGCTCTGTTAGCGAGCGGTGTAGGTACTGGTTCGCCAATATTAGAGGCTACCTGAAACTTTTCATGATGGAGCATCGTATGCGTCAAGACAACTCACAACTCAGTTTGCTTCAGGCACGAATCGCCAACCATCAGTTAGGAGGAGGAGAGAGAAAGCTGAAACGCAAGCCATCTCCGACAACAACATCGAGGAAAATGAGTCGCTAGGCCTCGGCTCGAAAGAACTTCTGCAGCTGCGTAGATTCTACGGGATGTGCACGGGGTCATGGGGTCACGGGTTCATCTCCTGGTAGACTGCTGGATAAGCAGTTGTACGGTTAACCGGTTCCCGAAGACTGGAGAGCATTACGTACTCGCTGTCTATTGGTCAACGTTGGCTGAAATTATGAGAAAGCACGTGGCAGACTTGACCCGAGTCACCCGAAAATCATGATGCGATATCAGAGCTAGCTAGCTAGAGAGGTTGGGCACAACGAAAATTCGAGTAGATCTACTTTTAACGAAAAAAGCTAACGAATATTCGTAAACCGTGAGGTTGCGCACATTCTCCTACTGCCCGGAAATATGCTGTGGTTGTGCCCACAAACAAGAACAAGGGAAGCAGTCATGATCCTGGTAACTATCGCCCTATCTCTCTGCTGAACACCTATTCCAAGATACTTGAGAGAATCGTCTCTGATCGGCTGTAGCAGTGTAGGTCTACCATTATCTGGCACCTCTGCTCCATGATATTCAATCTGGGTTCCGCCATGGTGACTTTACCTCCCTACATCTAACCAACCTCGTCCAGCGACCGTGCACCTTCCGAGACCGCCGGCATTACCTTAGCCTGTGTTTCTTCGACCTGGCGAAAGCGTTTGATCCAGTTTGGCATGGGGGGTTACTACTGTACTAGCCAAGCTGCATGCTTACGTTATGGGGTTATGGGGTGGTCATCGGCCGCCTGCAGTCGTGGCTTGCCTCACATCTCAACAATAGAACACCAATAGAACTCAATCAGTAAAGCTTGGTCTAGTCCTCTCTGATTCTCTCCCTGTTTTGCGCTGGTGTACCGCAAGGGTCCACCCTACTCCCTAGTACCGCTACTGTTCCTGGCCTTCGTCAACGACCTCCCTGTCCTCAACCCTGGCGTGCCTCTGTTTGCAGACGACAACTGTATGCTGCGCGTGAACTTCTTCGTAGCAGGTCGACGCGGCGCGCGCACGGGTGCGGAGAGTCAAGGCATGGAGTTGTAAAATATCAGTATTTTAGTATTTTTAAACAATCGACGGGGAGACAATAGTCGTAAAATGGCAATAAATAAGATGAATTGTGCACTCATAACAACAGCAAATATGAAGAAAGTCAAGTTCCATAACGTTTTCTTGTGACTGTCATCAGTGGAACGCCGTCACATAAAAATGTAATAACTAAAACACACACTTATATACATGTAGCTAATATGGTTTCAGGTAGAAATGCAGCAGCTAACAAGTACAAAGAGCGAAGTTTGCACCTTTGCAATGTGTGAATATACTATAGTGTATGTGAGAAAGTTAGTGGCAGATGAATGTGATACTGTGTGAATGAATGTAATGGTGCGTGTGTATTACTTGAAGAGTGTGAGTGATACAACGTTTTCTTTCTGTTTACATACCACAGGGTCACGAGTACGAATATACACAGCTTCCAACACCTGCTATATTCACGCATTGCAAAGGTGCAAACTTCGCTTTTTGTACTTGTTAGCTGCTGTATTTCTACCTGAAACCATATTAGCTTCATGTATATAAGTGTGTGTTTTAGTTATTACATTTTTATGTGACGGCGTTCCACTGATGACAGTCACAAGAAAACGTTATGGTACTTGACTTTCTTCATTTTTGCTGTTGTTATGAGTGCACAATTTATCTTATTTATTGCCATTTTAGTATTTTAGTACTCCAAATTACGAAAAACATTTTCATAGATCTGTCTGTTTCAGTCACGTTTGGGCGGATCTTCGTAGCAGCTTTCGTTACTCGAACCCGGACGGTCGAAATCTTACGAATTTTCGTTGGGCGCATTCTCTCTACTATAATATTAGTACTAATCTGTAGGGTCAAGTATACCACCGTGCATCGGAGCACCGCTGACCGGTTTGCAGTAGAGTAGATCTACTGTCGGTCGCCGAAGAACTTGGCCGGTGGGGGGTCAGCCCCGGAATCGTAGCCTACTTACACAAAGGGTTAACTAACTTGTAGCAAGAGTACAATATTATAATATCAAGAGAATATAACGTACAACTGCGACACTGCACCACGTGATGTGAGTTTTCGCCGTCGGCGTACCCCATAGAAAGGGTATCAGGAGTTGCACACTCTTGGGGGGTTATATACTCTTGATAATATTGTATAATGGTTGTAGTGTGAGCACGACTGACACGTTTCTGCGTTATGCTAACGTATGGATGCGTGCTCATGGTCGCGCTGTTATTTCTGACATGATGCGAAAGTTCAGCTCGCGTTGTTTGGCTCTCACGTTGGAAAACAACGCGAGTGACCTGCACGGCTCGCGTTGAAGTTTGGAGTTCTACGCCAAACTTGACGTGAAAATGCGCGTCAAATCAGAATAATGTGCATCTTAACCTCTCTATTGCAGTCCCCGAAGATGAGCGAACGTGGTTAGGGGTATTAGCCAGGCACACGCTGACCTGGATTCGAGTGGGTTACTTGGGTCCACATGAGTGTTCACTCGTGTCCAAATCAGGGTAGGTTTTAACCAGCTATACAGTCAAATATCTCTTGGCATACTACTGTTGCATTCGATGAAATCCTACCCAGAGTGCACATTTGGCGCCCTCAATCTGCACGACCCATGACGCCCTGGATGTGGCACGAATGCGGCCGGTTGTACACATGTACAAATACTTCAGTACAAAGATGTAATCGGGACGTGTCCAGGGCGCCAGTTTTGCACTTCGGGTCGGATTTCAGCCAGCACTGTAGTGCAAACAAAAGGGAACATGCATGGAAAATGCACACTACACACAGCACACAGATCACAGATCACAGCACACAGATAAAAGCACACAGATCACAGCACACACACACACAGCACACAGCACACAGCACACAGAACACAGAACACAGCACACAGCACACAGCACACAGCACACAGCACACAGCACACAGCACACAGCACACAGCACACAGCACACAGAACACAGCACACAGCACACAGATCACAGCTTCCTGTACACTGTAGATATCAATACAGGACATTAAAAACAAGTACGATAAATAGGGGTGAAAGTTGGCACTGAGATCATGTTCACCGAACAGTCTTCATTTCAATATCTACTGACTGCTGCTCTGAAACTGAAGATTTCTGTGGTAAATGCATGTACCATGTAAAACAACAATGAAGATGCAATGGAGGACATTCTGTTCCTGGATGATTCGCTGCTGGGGCGTATGCTGTATAGAAAATGCCCAATTCTTGTGGGCAATGGCTTCACTTGCTGGATATATTTATCGTTAGGGGTGAGACAATTATACCGAATATTGGATTCGAGTACGCGCTCGTTTTTTTCAATAATAATCATATTCGAAATAAATCAGATTACTAGTACTTGTTTTTTTAAGGTGCTCACTTTGTAAAGTGCACTGCAGGCTGCTGCTGCTGCTGCTGCTGCTGAAGACTGAGCCACTCTGACTGATGCTTGGCATTGCTGCTGTGAGCAGTGTGTCCACTGGTTTTCAAACTAATGCACTCAGTGTCTGGTGCAGCAGATGCAGAGTGTGTTGCTGCCATGGCAACTTCTCTTGCCGCTGTGTCTGCTGCAGTGCTAGCTGCAATGGCAGCTGCTCTTACTTCTGTGTCCGTTGCAGTGTTAGCGATGGCGGGCTCAGCTGCTATATCTGCTGGGGTAGCTACTGGCCTGCTACTAAGCGGCCATCAACGCGGGAAATGTTGCAGGAGCAGGATCCATATCCATGATACCCTCAAAGATCTATAGTGACAACTTGGCAGGTGAACTCCTGCATCCGTCAACACAGGTCTAGCGGCTGTACTGATCATGTGATACACGGTAGGTCACTAAGCTCAGGAAAGCGATTCTCTGCTCAGGACAATTCCAACAGCAACCGTTGCTCGCATATACCAGCAGAATGCTGGCTGCTGCATTGTTTGAGCTGCTACCGGATATGTACATCCGTAGCTTTCTGTCACGCCGCAGTTAGGGTTATTGTGATTTGGCAAGAGTGTGCAAACATGCTATGAAGCCACGTTCATCGAAGCTTGAAGGGAATGGCAGATGACACAATTTGCACAGGTAAGCTGTACAGGAACCAGCAGAAAAGAAGCACACGCAGACACACACACATACACACACACACACACACACACACACACACACATACACACACACACACACACATACACACACACACACATACACACACACACACACACACACACACACACACACACACACACACACACACATAAAATACACACACACCTCAGACCTCAGACTTGCCCATCACGGAAGCGATGATAGCGAACGGCTATGTTAGACATAGCAACTTGTGCTGGGATTACACCATTCAACAGCTTGCAAGGCTGATGAATTGACCGCCACTAATTTTTGCCTGGTATCCACCACACAGAGTGATAGAAGTGGCTTTTTCTGGCCAGTGAATCCCTATTTTTAATTTTTTTAATTTTTTAATTTTTTTACACGCACGCCACACCACATACTCCGGCATACACTGGCTGTTGGTAACCACCCAGGAGAAGGAAAGAAGAGCTAGGAGAATGAGAAAGAGAAGAAAGACGTGTGCGGCCGAAATCGTCGGGAACACACACACACACACACACACACATACATGCACACACATACACACACGCATACACATACACGTGCACAAAGTAACCATGTGAGATTACATACACACACACACCTAAAGGAGGCCTATTGGTATTTGTTGGATCTCTGCAGCGAGTCGAAAAGCATAATTACAAGCGGTCGCAGAGGACTCGCGGAAGATATATGCCAGCATCTACAGGAGGGTTGCCATGATGACAAAGCGCCGTATACTTCAGCCGTTAGGCGCTGCATCTGCCGCTAGGGTTTACCGGGTGTTAGCGGCCGTCGTGAGTTCCCTTTGGGAACGGACAGGATAATTTACTTTTTTTTACTTTACTTCAGCGCCAGCAGATAAGCGCCGAATATGTCAGCGTCACATAAATCAGCGCCAGATACAGTTGCGCTCGGTGAAATCCGGCCCGAAGTGTAAAGCCGGCGCCGCGAAGCCAGCTCCCATTACATCACTGGCGATTTGTGTGTATGAACTCAACTGCACTCACCTCGTGTAAAAGTTCGGAGTGCACGTGTTGCATGCTAAAACAGTTCAAAATTTCTTTCATTCACTTCACGAAGTACAGCTCAAGATCAAGAAGAGATAGAGAAGGACACGGCCATTCCCAATTTGTGGGCTCCTCTCAAGAAGAGAATAATTCCACATCGCTGCGAGAATGCTGACCAGCTGGTGCGGGCACTGCACCTGGAGTGGGACTCGTTGGCTCCTGACACGGTTTCCCCATACGTGGAGTCAATGCCACGTCGTGTTGAAGCCCTAATCGAAGCAGACGGTGGCCACACAAAACATTGAAGCCCTGCTGCTCTGTGTATGAAATAATCAGCTTCGAAACGATCTCCGTAACCAATCTCACAGTTTGGGGCATTTTACCCGTGAATCTTCACTTTTCGACTAAACTATTCTCAGCAGTGCCAAACTTTCTGGGTCACTGGATGTGGATGCCAGCGCCCTACAAGAAAATCAAAAATTAAATCAATGCGGCCACTGACATTACAGGTGGGTTATGTTATAGAGAGGTACATTGAAATTCAAAGGTCAGCACAAATGGTCAAAATCTGACATTTTCTCACCTTTCTGCCCGTTTACAGCTCACAAAATGACAATGACCATCGTCATATCCTTTTCTAGCTGGACATAGACAAAAGCACCAAGGAAAAGAGCCACATTCCTCTAACGAACTCGCCCAGGGCTGCTGAAAGCTGAAAATTAACAAATCTCACAGTTTGGGGCTTTTAACCCGTTAATCTTCACTTTACGACTAAACTATTCACAGCAGTGCCAAATTTTCTGGGCCACTGAATGTGGGTGCCACCGTCCTACAAGCAAACCAAAAATTAAATAAATACCACCACTCACATTACAGCTGGGTCATGTTATAGAGAGGAACATTGAAATTCAAAGGTCAGCACAAATGGTCAAAATCCGACATTTCCACACCTTTCTGCCCGTTCGCAGCTCAGAAAATGACAATGACCATCCTCATCTCCTTGTGTAGCTGGACATAGACAAGTGCACCAAAAAAGAGACCCATTTCTCTAACGAACTCTCCCAGGGCTGCTGAAAGCTGAAAATGAACCAATCTCACAGTTTGGGGCTTTTTACCAGTGAATCTTCACTTTGCGACTAAACTATTCACAGCAGTGCCAAACTTTCTGGGTCACTGAATTTGGGTGCCAGCGCCCTACAAGCAAACCAAAAATTAAATCAATGCGACCACTGACATTACAGCTGGGTCATGTTATAGAGAGGTAAATTGAAATTCAAAGGACAGCAGAAATGGTCAAAATTCGACATTTTGTCCCCTTTCCCCTTTTTTTGCCCGTTTGCAGCTCAGAAAATGACAATGACCATCCTCATCTCCTTGTGTAGCTGGACATAGACAAGTGCACCAAGAAAAAATGCCACATTTCAATAAACAACTTGCCCAGGGCTGCTGAAAGCTGAAAAATAACCAATCTCACGGTTTGGGGCTTTTTACCCGTGAATCTTCACTTTGCGACTAAACTATTCACAGCAGTGCCACATTTTCTGGGTCACTGAATGTGGGTGCCAGCGCCCTACAATAAATAAAAAATTTCACGGTTCGCGTGAGACTCGGCTGGAAGCCGAGTTTTCCGCATCCGCCGTGGGAACGCCACCACCCTCTAGGATCAAAGGCGCAGATGCAGCGCCTAAACGGTGGGAGGTGAGTAGATCAGACCCACCACCAAGTGGTCAAAGACCGAAGTCCCATTAGCTGCATCCATGTTACCCTCGTGCCAGGCCACGAGTTCCCAATTAACTGTGGGTCGCAGCACGGCTGGAAAAATTCCTTCCGCTTCCAAGCAGGACTTGAACCTGGTACCCTCTGTTTCTCAATCATGGTCTTAGACCATCCCACTATGCCTGCCAGCGCCCTACAAGCAAACCAAAAATCAAATCAACGCGACCACTTACATTACAGCTGGGTCCTGTTATAGAGAGGTACATTAAAATTCAGAGGTCAGCACAAATGGTCAAAATCCGATATTTTCTCCCCTTTCTGCCCGGTCGCAGCTGAGAAAATGACAATGACCAGCCTCATCTCGTTGTGCAGCTGGACATAGACAAGTGCACCAAGAAAAAGAGCCACATGTCTCTAAAGAACTTGCCCAGGGCTGCTGAAAGCTGAAAAATAACCAATCTCACAGTTTGGGGCTTTTTACCCGTGAATCTTCACTTTGCGACTAAACTATTCACAGCACTGCCAAATATTTTGGGTCTCTGAATATGGGTGCCAGCGCCCTACAAGCAAACCAAAAATCAAATCAATGCAACCACTGATATTAGAGCTGGGTTATGCTATAGAGAGGTACATTGAAATTCAAAGGTCAGCACAAATGGTCAAAATCCGACATTTTATCACCTTCCTGCCCGTTCACAGCTCAGAAAATGACAATGACCAGCCTCATCTCGTTGTGCAGCTGGACATAGACAAATTCACCAAGTAAACGAGCCACATTTCTGTAAAGAACTCGCCCAGGGCTGCTGAGCCCCGAAAAATAACCAATCTCACAGTTTGGGGCTTTTTACCCGTGAATCTTCACTTTGCGACTAAACTATTCACAGCAGTGCCACATTTTCTGGGTCACTGAATGTGGGTGCCAGCGCCGTACAAGCAAACCAAAAATAAAGTCAATGCCACCACTGACATTACAGCTGGGTCATGTTATAGAGAGATACATTGAAATTCAAAGGTCAGCACAAATGTTCAAAATCCGACATTTTCTCACCCTCCTGCCCGTTCACAGCTCAGAAAATGACAATGACCAGCCTCATCTCCGTGTGCAGCTGGACATAGACAAGTGCACCAAGAAAAAGAGCCACATTTCTCTAAAGAACTTGCCCAGGGCTGCTGAAAGCTGAAAAATACCTAATCTCACAGTTTGGGACTTTTTACCCGTGAATCTTCACTTTGCGACTAAACTATTCACACCAGTGCCACATTTTCTGGGTCACTGAATGTGGGTGCCAGCGCCCTACAAGCAAACCAATCATCAAATCAATGCGACCACTGACATTACAGCTGGGTCATGTTATAGAGAGGTACATTGAAATTCAAAGGTCAGCACAAATGGTCGAAATGCGACATTTTCTCACCTTCCTGCTCGTTCACAGCTCAGAAAATGACAATGACCAGCCTCATCTCGTTGTGCAACTGGACATAGACAAGTGCAGCAAGAAAAAGAGCCACATTTCTCTAAAGAACTTGCACAGGGCTGCTGAAAGCTGAAAAATAACCAATCTCACAGTTTGGGACTTTTTACCGGTGAATCTTCACTTTGCGACTAAACTATTCACAGCAGTGCCAAATGTTTTGGGTCACTGAATGTGGGTGCCAGCGCCCTACAAGCAAACCAAAAATCAAATCAATGCGACCACTGACATTACAGCTGGGTCATGTTATAGAGAGGTACAATGAAATTTGAAGGTCAGAACAAACGGTCAAAATCCGACATTTTCTCACCTTACTGCCCGTTCACAGCTCAGAAAATGACAATGACCAGCCTCATCTCGTTGTGCACCTGGTCATAGACAAGTGCAGCAAGAAAAACAGCCACATTTCTCTAAAGAACTTGCACAGGGCTGCTGAAAGCTAAAAATAACCAATCTCACAGTTTGGGGCTTTTTACCCGTTAATCTTCACTTTGCGACTAAACTATTCACAGCAGTGCCACATTTTCTGGGTCACTGAATGTGGGTGCCAGCGCCCTACAAGCAAACCAAAAATCAAATCAATGCGACCACTGACATTACAGCTGGGTCATGTTATAGAGAGGTACATTGAAATTCAAAGGTCAGCACAAATGGTCAAAATCCGACATTTTCTCACCTTCCTGCCCGTTCACAGATCAGAAAATGACAATGACCAGCCTCATCTCGTTGTGCAGCTGGACATAGAAAAGTGCACCAAGAAAAAGAGCCACATTTCTCTAAAGAACTCGCCCGGGGCTGCTGAGCCCTGAAAATAACCAATCTCACAGTTTGGGGCTTTTTACCCGTGAATCTTCACTTTGCAACTAAACTAATCACAGCAGTGCCACATTTTCTGGGTCACTTAATGTGGGTGCCAGCGCCCTACAAGTAAACCAATAATCAAATCAATGCGACCACTGACATTACAGCTGGGTCATGTTATAGAGAGGTACATTGAAATTCAAAGGTCAGAACAAATGGTCAAAATCCGACATTTTCTCACCTTCCTGCCCGTTCACAGCTCAGAAAATGACAATGACCAGCCTCATCTCGTTGTGCAGCAGATCATAGACAAGTGCACCAAGAAAAACAGCCACATTTCTCTAAAGAACTTGCCCAGGGCTGCTGAAAGCTAAAAATAACCAATCTCACAGTTTGGGGCTTTTTACCCGTTAATCTTCATTTTGCGACTAAACTATTCACAGCAGTGCCACATTTTCTGGGTCACTGAATGTGGGTGCCAGCGCCCTACAAGCAAACCAATAATCAAATCAATGCGACCACTGACATTACAGCTGGGTCATGTTATAGAGAGGTACATTGAAATTCAAAGGTCAGAAGAAATGGTCAAAATCCGACATTTTCTCACCTTCCTGCCCGTTCACAGCTCAGAAGATGACAATGACCAGCCTCATCTCGTTGTGCAGCTGGTCATAGACAAGTGCACCAAGAAAAACAGCCACATTTCTCTAAAGAACTTGCACAGGGCTGCTGAAAGCTAAAAATAACCAATCTCACAGTTTGGGGCTTTTTACCCGTTAATCTTCACTTTGCGACTAAACTATTCACAGCAGTGCCACATTTTCTGGGTCACTGAATGTGGGTGCCAGCGCCCTACAAGCAAACCAAAAATCAAATCAATGCGACCACTGACATTACAGCTGGGTCATGTTATAGAGAAGTACATTGAAATTCAAAGGTCAGAACAAATGGTCAAAATCCGACATTTTCTCACCTTCCTGCCCGTTCACAGATCAGAAAATGACAATGACCAGCCTCATCTCGCTGTGCAGCTGGACATAGAAAAGTGCACCAAGAAAAACAGCCACATTTCTCTAAAGAACTCGCCCAGGGCTGCTGAGCCCTGAAAAATAACCAATCTCACAGTTTGGGGCTTTTTACCCGTGAATCTTCACTTTGCGACTAAACTATTCACAGCAGTGCCACATTTTCTGGGTCACTGAATGTGGGTGCCAGCGCCCTACAAGCAAACCAATAATCAAATCAATGTGACCACTGACATTACAGCTGGGTCATGTTATAGAGAGGTACATTGAAATTCAAAGGTCAGCACAAATGGTCAAAATCCGACATTTTCTCACCTTTCTGCCCGTTCACAGCTCAGAAAATGAAAAAGACCAGCCTCATCTCGTTGTGCAGCTGGACATAGACAAGTGCACCAAGAAAAACAGCCACATTTCTCTAAAGAACTTGCACAGGGCTGCTAAAAGCTGAAAAATAACCAATCTCACAGTTTGGGGCTTTTTACCCGTGAATCTTCACTTTGCGACTAAACTATTCACAGCAGTGCCACATTTTCTGGTTCACTGAATGTGGGTGCCAGCGCCCTACAAGCAAACCAAAAATCAAATCAATGCGACCACTGACATTACAGCTGGATCATGTTATAGAGAGGTACATTGAAATTCAAAGGTCAGCACAAATGGTCAAAATCCGACATTTTCTCACCTTCCTGCCCGTTCACAGCTCAGAAGATGACAATGACCAGCCTCATCTCGTTGTGCAGCTGGTCATAGACAAGTGCACCAAGAAAAACAGCCACATTTCTCTAAAGAACTTGCACAGGGCTGCTGAAAGCTAAAAATAACCAATCTCACAGTTTGGGGCTTTTTACCCGTTAATCTTCACTTTGCGACTAAACTATTCACAGCAGTGCCACATTTTCTGGGTCACTGAATGTGGGTGCCAGCGCCCTACAAGCAAACCAAAAATCAAATCAATGCGACCACTGACATTACAGCTGGGTCATGTTATAGAGAAGTACATTGAAATTCAAAGGTCAGAACAAATGGTCAAAATCCGACATTTTCTCACCTTCCTGCCCGTTCACAGATCAGAAAATGACAATGACCAGCCTCATCTCGTTGTGCAGCTGGACATAGAAAAGTGCACCAAGAAAAACAGCCACATTTCTCTAAAGAACTCGCCCAGGGCTGCTGAGCCCTGAAAAATAACCAATCTCACAGTTTGGGGCTTTTTACCCGTGAATCTTCACTTTGCGACTAAACTATTCACAGCAGTGCCACATTTTCTGGGTCACTGAATGTGGGTGCCAGCGCCCTACAAGCAAACCAATAATCAAATCAATGCGACCACTGACATTACAGCTGGGTCATGTTATAGAGAGGTACATTGAAATTCAAAGGTCAGCACAAATGGTCAAAATCCGACATTTTCTCACCTTTCTGCCCGTTCACAGCTCAGAAAATGACAAAGACCAGCCTCATCTCGTTGTGCAGCTGGACATAGACAAGTGCACCAAGAAAAACAGCCACATTTCTCTAAAGAACTTGCACAGGGCTGCTAAAAGCTGAAAAATAACCAATCTCACAGTTTGGGGCTTTTTACCCGTGAATCTTCACTTTGCGACTAAACTATTCACAGCAGTGCCACATTTTCTGGTTCACTGAATGTGGGTGCCAGCGCCCTACAAGCAAACCAAAAATCAAATCAATGCGACCACTGACATTACAGCTGGATCATGTTATAGAGAGGTACATTGAAATTCAAAGGTCAGCACAAATGGTCAAAATCCGACATTTTCTCACCTTCCTGCCCGTTCACAGATCAGAAAATGACAATGACCAGCCTCATCTCGTTGTGCAGCTGGACAAAGAAAAGTGCACCAAGAAAAAGAGCCACATTTCTCTAAAGAACTCGCCCAGGGCTGCTGAGCCCTGAAAAATAACCAATCTCACAGTTTGGGGCTTTTTACCCGTGAATCTTCACTTTGCGACTAAACTATTCACAGCAGTGCCACATTTTCTGGGTCACTGAATGTGGGTACGCCAGCGCCCTACAAGCAAACCAAAAATCAAATCAATGCGACCACTGACATTACAGCTGGGTCATGTTATAGAGAGGTACATTGAAATTCAAAGGTCAGAAGAAATGGTCAAAATCCGACATTTTCTCACCTTCCTGCCCGTTCACAGCTCAGAAAATGACAATGACCAGCCTCATCTCGTTGTGCAGCTGGACATAGACAAGTGCAGCAAGAAAAAGAGCCACATTCCTCTAAAGAACTTGCACAGGGCTGCTGGAAGCTGAAAAATAACCAATCTCACAGTTTGGGGCTTTTTACCCGTGAATCTTCACTTTGCGACTAAACTATTCACAGCAGTGCCAAATTTTTTGGGTCACTGAATGTGGGTGCCAGCGCCCTACAAGCAAACCAAAAATCAAATCAATGCGACCACTGACATTACAGCTGGGTCATGTTATAGAGAGGTACATTGAAATTCAAAGGTCAGAACAAATGGTCGAAATCCGACATTTTCTCACCTTTCTGCCCGTTCACAGCTCAGAAAATGACAAAGACCAGCCTCATCTCGTTGTGCAGCTGGACATAGACAAGTGCACCAAGAAAAACAGCCACATTTCTCTAAAGAACTTGCACAGGGCTGCTAAAAGCTGAAAAATAACCAATCTCACAGTTTGGGGCTTTTTACCCGTGAATCTTCACTTTGCGACTAAACTATTCACAGCAGTGCCACATTTTCTGGTTCACTGAATGTGGGTGCCAGCGCCCTACAAGCAAACCAAAAATCAAATCAATGCGACCACTGACATTACAGCTGGGTCATGTTATAGAGAGGTACATTGAAATTCAAAGGTCAGCACAAATGGTCAAAATCCGACATTTTCTCACCTTCCTGCCCGTTCACAGATCAGAAAATGACAATGACCAGCCTCATCTCGTTGTGCAGCTGGACAAAGAAAAGTGCACCAAGAAAAAGAGCCACATTTCTCTAAAGAACTCGCCCAGGGCTGCTGAGCCCTGAAAAGTAACCAATCTCACAGTTTGGGGCTTTTTACCCGTGAATCTTCACTTTGCGACTAAACTATTCACAGCAGTGCCACATTTTCTGGGTCACTGAATGTGGGTACGCCAGCGCCCTACAAGCAAACCAAAAATCAAATCAATGCGACCACTGACATTACAGCTGGGTCATGTTATAGAGAGGTACATTGAAATTCAAAGGTCAGAAGAAATGGTCAAAATCCGACATTTTCTCACCTTCCTGCCCGTTCACAGCTCAGAAAATGACAATGACCAGCCTCATCTCGTTGTGCAGCTGGACATAGACAAGTGCAGCAAGAAAAAGAGCCACATTCCTCTAAAGAACTTGCACAGGGCTGCTGGAAGCTGAAAAATAACCAATCTCACAGTTTGGGGCTTTTTACCCGTGAATCTTCACTTTGCGACTAAACTATTCACAGCAGTGCCAAATTTTTTGGGTCACTGAATGTGGGTGCCAGCGCCCTACAAGCAAACCAAAAATCAAATCAATGCGACCACTGACATTACAGCTGGGTCATGTTATAGAGAGGTACATTGAAATTCAAAGGTCAGAACAAATGGTCAAAATCCGACATTTTCTCACCTTTCTGCCCGTTCACAGCTCAGAAAATGACAAAGACCAGCCTCATCTCGTTGTGCAGCTGGACATAGACAAGTGCACCAAGAAAAACAGCCACATTTCTCTAAAGAACTTGCACAGGGCTGCTAAAAGCTGAAAAATAACCAATCTCACAGTTTGGGGCTTTTTACCCGTGAATCTTCACTTTGCGACTAAACTATTCACAGCAGTGCCACATTTTCTGGTTCACTGAATGTGGGTGCCAGCGCCCTACAAGCAAACCAAAAATCAAATCAATGCGACCACTGACATTACAGCTGGGTCATGTTATAGAGAGGTACATTGAAATTCAAAGGTCAGCACAAATGGTCAAAATCCGACATTTTCTCACCTTCCTGCCCGTTCACAGATCAGAAAATGACAATGACCAGCCTCATCTCGTTGTGCAGCTGGACAAAGAAAAGTGCACCAAGAAAAAGAGCCACATTTCTCTAAAGAACTCGCCCAGGGCTGCTGAGCCCTGAAAAATAACCAATCTCACAGTTTGGGGCTTTTTACCCGTGAATCTTCACTTTGCGACTAAACTATTCACAGCAGTGCCACATTTTCTGGGTCACTGAATGTGGGTACGCCAGCGCCCTACAAGCAAACCAAAAATCAAATCAATGCGACCACTGACATTACAGCTGGGTCATGTTATAGAGAGGTACATTGAAATTCAAAGGTCAGAAGAAATGGTCAAAATCCGACATTTTCTCACCTTCCTGCCCGTTCACAGCTCAGAAAATGACAATGACCAGCCTCATCTCGTTGTGCAGCTGGACATAGACAAGTGCAGCAAGAAAAAGAGCCACATTCCTCTAAAGAACTTGCACAGGGCTGCTGGAAGCTGAAAAATAACCAATCTCACAGTTTGGGGCTTTTTACCCGTGAATCTTCACTTTGCGACTAAACTATTCACAGCAGTGCCAAATTTTTTGGGTCACGGAATGTGGGTGCCAGCGCCCTACAAGCAAACCAAAAATCAAATCAATGCGACCACTGACATTACAGCTGGGTCATGTTATAGAGAGGTACATTGAAATTCAAAGGTCAGCACAAATGGTCAAAATCCGACATTTTCTCACCTTCCTGCCCGTTCACAGATCAGAAAATGACAATGACCAGCCTCATCTCGTTGTGCAGCTGGACAAAGAAAAGTGCACCAAGAAAAAGAGCCACATTTCTCTAAAGAACTCGCCCAGGGCTGCTGAGCCCTGAAAAATAACCAATCTCACAGTTTGGGGCTTTTTACCCGTGAATCTTCACTTTGCGACTAAACTATTCACAGCAGTGCCACATTTTCTGGGTCACTGAATGTGGGTACGCCAGCGCCCTACAAGCAAACCAAAAATCAAATCAATGCGACCACTGACATTACAGCTGGGTCATGTTATAGAGAGGTACATTGAAATTCAAAGGTCAGCACAAATGGTCAAAATCCGACATTTTCTCACCTTCCTGCCCGTTCACAGCTCAGAAAATGACAATGACCAGCCTCATCTCGTTGTGCAGCTGGACATAGACAAGTGCAGCAAGAAAAAGAGCCACATTCCTCTAAAGAACTTGCACAGGGCTGCTGGAAGCTGAAAAATAACCAATCTCACAGTTTGGGGCTTTTTACCCGTGAATCTTCACTTTGCGACTAAACTATTCACAGCAGTGCCAAATTTTTTGGGTCACTGAATGTGGGTGCCAGCGCCCTACAAGCAAACCAAAAATCAAATCAATGCGACCACTGACATTACAGCTGGGTCATGTTATAGAGAGGTACATTGAAATTCAAAGGTCAGAACAAATGGTCGAAATCCGACATTTTCTCACCTTTCTGCCCGTTCACAGCTCAGAAAATGACAAAGACCAGCCTCATCTCGTTGTGCAGGTGGACATAGACAAGTGCACCAAGAAAAACAGCCACATTTCTCTAAAGAACTTGCACAGGGCTGCTGAAAGCTGAAAAATAACCAATCTCACAGTTTGGGGATTTTTACCCGTGAATCTTCACTCACGACTAAACTATTCACAGCAGTGCCAAATTTTTTGGGTCACTGAATGTACGTGCCAGCGCCCTACAAGCAAACCAAAAATCAAATCAATGCGACCACTGACATTACAGCTGGGTCATGTTATAGAGAGGTACATTGAAATTCAAAGGTCAGCACAAATGGTCGAAATCCGACATTTTCTCACCTTCCTGCCCGTTCACAGCTCAGAAAATGACAATGACCAGCCTCATCTCGTTGTGCAGCTGGACATAGACAAGTGCACCAAGAAAAACAGCCGCATTTCTGTAAAGAACTTGCACAGGGCTGTTGAAAGCTGAAAAATAACCAATCTCACAGTTTGGGGAATTTTACCCGTGAATCTCCACTTTGCGACTAAACTATTCACAGCAGTGCCAAATCTTTCGGGTCACTGAATGTGGGTGCCAGCGCCCTACAAGCAAACCAAAAATCAAATCAATGCGACCACTGACATTAGAGCTGGGTCATGTTATAGAGAGGTACATTGAAATTCAAAGGTCAGCACAAATGGTCAAAATCCGACATTTTCTCACCTTCCTGCTCGTTCACAGCTCAGTAAATGACAATGACCAGCCTCATCTCGTTGTGCAGCTGGACATAGACAAGTGCACCAAGAAAAAGAGCCACATTTCTCTAAAGAACTTGCACAGGGCTGCTGAAAGCTGAAAAATAACAAATCTCACACTTTGGGGCTTTTTACCCGTGAATCTTCACTTTGCGACTAAACTATTCACAGCAGTGCCACATTTTCTGGGTCACTGAATGTGGGTGCCAGCGCCCTACAAGTAAACCAATAATAAATCAATGTGACCACTGACATTACAGCTGGGTCATGTTATAGAGAGGTACATTGAAATTCAAAGGCCAGCACAAATGGTCAAAATCCGTCATTTTCTGACCTTCCTGCCCGTTCACAGCTCAGAAAATGACAATGACCAGCCTCATCTCGTTGTGCAGCTGGACATAGACAAGTGCAGCAAGAAAAAGAGCCACATTTCTCTAAAGAACTTGCACAGGGCTGCTGAAAGCTGAAAAATAACCAATCTCACAGTTTGGGGCTTTTTACCCTTGAATCTTCACTTTGCGACTAAACTATTCACAGCAGTGGCAAATTTGTTGGGTCACTGAATGTGGGTGCCAGCGCCCTACAAGGAAACCAAAAATCAAATCAATGCGACCACTGACATTACAGCTGGGTCATGTTATAGAGAGGTACATTGAAATTCAAAGGTCAGCACAAATGGTCAAAATCCGACATTTTCTCACCTTCCTGCCCGTTCACAGCTCAGAAAATAACAATGACCAGCCTCATCTCGTTGTGCAGCTGGACATAGACAAGTGCACCAAGAAAAACAGCCGCATTTCTGTAAAGAACTTGCACAGGGCTGTTGAAAGCTGAAAAATAACCAATCTCACAGTTTGGGGCTTTTTACCCATAAATCTTCACTTTGCGACTAAACTATTCACAGCAGTGCCACATTTTCTAGGTCACTGAATGTGAGTGCCAGCGCCCTACAAGCAAACCAAAAATCAAATCAATGCGACAACTGACATTACAGCTGGGTCATGTTATAGAGAGGTACATTGAAATTCAAAGGTCAGCAAAAATGGTCAAAATCCGTCATTTTCTCACCTTCCTGCCCGTTCACAGCTCAGAAAATGACAATGACCAGCCTTATCTCGTTGTGCAGCTGGACATAGACAAGTGCACTAAGAAAAAGAGCCACATTTCTCTAAAGAACTTGCCCAGGGCTGCTGAAAGCTGAAAAACAACCAATCTCACAGTTTGGGGCTTTTTACCCGTGAATCTTCACTTTGCGACTAAACTATTAACAGCAGTGCCACATTTTCTGGGTCACTGAATGTGGGTGCCAGCGCCCTACAAGCAAACCAAAAATCAAATCAATGCGACCACTGACATTACAGCTGGGTCATGTTATAGAGAGGTACATTGAAATTCAAAGGTCAGCACAAATGGTCAAAATCCGACATTTTCACCCCGTTCTGCCCGTTCGCAGCTCAGAAAATGACAATGACCAGCCTCATCTCGTTGTGCAGCTGGACATAGACAAGTGCACCAAGAAAAACAGCCGCATTTCTGTAAAGAACTTGCACAGGGCTGTTGAAAGCTGAAAAATAACCAATCTCACAGTTTGGGGCTTTTTGCCCGTGAATCTTCACTTTGCGACTAAACTATTCACAGCAGTGCCACATTTTCTTGGTCACTGAATGTGGGTGCCAGCGCCCTACAAGCAAACCAATAATCAAATCAATGCGACCACTGACATTACAGCTGGGTCATGTTATAGAGAGGTACATGGAAATTCAAAGGTCAGCACAAATGGTCAAAATCCGACATTTTCACCCCTTTCTGCGCGTTCACAGCTCAGAAAATGACAATGACCAGCCTCATCTCGTTGTGCAGCTGGACATAGACAAGTGCACCAAGAAAAACAGCCACATTTCTCTAAAGAACTTGCACAGGGCTGCTGAAAGCTGAAAAATAACCAATCTAACAGTTTGGGGCCTTTTACCCGTGAATCTTCACTTTGCGACTAAACTATTCACAGCAGTGCTACATTTTCTGGGTCACTGAATGTGGGTGCCAGCGCCCTACAAGTAAACCAATAATAAAATCAATGCGACCACTGACATTACAGCTGGGTCATGTTATAGAGAGGTACATTGAAGTTCAAAGGTCAGCACAAATGGTCAAAATCCGACATTTTCTCACCTTCCTGCTCGTTCACAGCTCAAAAAATGACAATGACCAGCCTCATCTCGTTGTGCAGCTGGACATAGACAAGTGCACCAAGAAAAAGAGCCACATTTCTCTAAAGAACTTGCACAGGGCTACTGAAAGCTGAAAAATAACAAATCTCACAGTTTGGGGCTTTTTACCCTTGAATCTTCACTTTGCGACTAAACTATTCACAGCAGTGCCAAATTTGTTGGGTCACTGAATGTGGGTGCCAGCGCCCTACAAGCAAACCAAAAATCAAATCAATGCGACCACTGACATTAGAGCTGGGTCATGTTATAGAGAGGTACATTGAAATTCAAAGGTCAGCACAAATGGTCAAAATCCGACATTTTCTCACCTTCCTGCTCGTTGACAGCTCAGAAAATGACAATGACCAGCCTCATCTCGTTGTGCAGCTGGACATAGACAAGTGCACCAAGAAAAAGAGCCAGATTTCTCTAAAGAACTTGCACAGACTGCTGAAAGCTGAAAAATAACAAATCTCACAGTTTGGGGCTTTTTACCCGTGAATCTTCACTTTGCGACTAAACTATTCACAACAGTGCCACATTTCTGGGTCACTGAATGGGGGTGCCAGCGCCCTACAAGTAAATCAATAATAAAATCAATGCGACCACTGACATTACAGCTGGGTCATGTTATAGAGAGGTACATTGAAATTCAAAGGTCAGCACAAATGGTCAAAACCCGACATTTTCTCACCTTCCTGCCCGTTCACAGCTCAGAAAATGACAATGACCAGCCTCATCTCGTTCTGCAGCTGGACATAGACAAGTGCACCAAGAAAAACAGCCCCATTTCTCTAAAGAACTTGCCCAGGGCTACTGAACGCTGAAAAACAACCAATCTCACAGTTTGGGGCTTTTTACCCGTGAATCTTCACTTTGCGACTAAACTATTCACAGCAGTGCCACATTTTCTGGGTCACCGAATGTGGGTGCCAGCGCCCTACAAGCAAACCAATAATAAAATCAATGCGACCACTGACATTACAGCTGGGTCATGTTATAGAGAGGTACATTGAAATTCAAAGGTCAGCACAAATGGTCAAAATCCGACATTTTCTCACCTTCCTGCCCGTTCACAGCTCAGAAAATGACAATGACCAGCCTCATCTCGTTGTGCAGCTGGACATAGACAAGTGCTCCAAGAAAAACAGCCACATTTCTCTAAAGAACTTGCACAGGGCTGCTGAAAGCTGAAAAATAACCAATCTCACAGTTTGGGGCCTTTTACCCGTGAATCTTCACTTTGCGACTAAACTATTCACAGCAGTGCCACGTTTTCTGGGTCACTGAATGTGGTTGCTAGCGCCCTACAAGTAAACCAATAATAAAATCAATGTGACCACTAACATTACAGCTGGGTCATGTTATAGAGAGGTACATTGAAATTCAAAGGTCAGCACAAATGGTCAAAATCCGACATTTTCTCACCTTCCTGCTCGTTCACAGCTCAGAAAATGACAATGACCAGCCTCATCTCGTTGTGCAGCTGGACATAGACAAGTGCACCAAGAAAAAGAGCCACATTTCTCTAAAGAACTTGCACAGGGCTGCTGAAAGCTGAAAAATAACCAATCTCACAGTTTGGGGCTTTTTACCCTTGAATCTTCACTTTGCGACTAAACTATTCACAGCAGTGCCAAATTTGTTGGGTCACTGAATGTGGGTGCCAGCGCCCTACAAGGAAACCAAAAATCAAATCAATGCGACCACTGACATTACAGCTGGGTCATGTTATAGAGAGGTACATTGAAATTCAAAGGTCAGCACAAATGGTCAAAATCCGACATTTTCTCACCTTCCTGCCCGCTCACAGCTCAGAAAATGACAATGACCAGCCTCATCTCCTTGTGCAGCTGGACATAGACAAGTGCACCAAGAAAAACAGCCACATTTCTCTAAAGAACTTGCACAGGGCTGCTCAAAGCTGAAAAATAACGAATCTCACAGTTTGGGGATTTTTACCCGTGAATCTTCACTTTGCGACTAAACTATTCACAGCAGTGCCAAATTTTTTTGAGTCACTGAATGTAGGTGCCATGGCCCTACCAGCAAACCAAAAATCAAATCAATGCGACCACTAACATTACAGCTGGGTCATGTTATAGAGAGGTACATTGAAATTCAAAGGTCAGCACAAATGGTCAAAATCCGACATTTTCTCACCTTCCTGCCCGTTCACAGCTCAGAAAATGACAATGACCAGCCTCATCTCGTTGTGCAGCTGGACATAGACAAGTGCACCAAGAAAAAGAGCCACATTTCTCTAAAGAACTTGCCCAGGGCTGCTGAAAGCTGAAAAATAACCAATCTCACACTTTGGGGCTTTTTACCCGTGAATCTTCACTTTGCGACTAAACTATTCACAGCAGTGCCAAATTTTTGGGGTCACTGAATGTGGGTGCCAGCGCCCTACAAGCAAACCAAAAATCAAATCAATGCGACCACTGACATTACAGCAGGGTCATGTTATAGAGAGGTACATTGAAATTCAAAGGTCAGCACAAATGGTCAAAATCCGACATTTTCTCACCTTCCTGCCCGCTCACAGCTCAGAAAATGACAATGACCAGCCTCATCTCCTTGTGCAGCTGGACATAGACAAGTGCACCAAGAAAAACAGCCACATTTCTCTAAAGAACTTGCACAGGGCTGCTCAAAGCTGAAAAATAACGAATCTCACAGTTTGGGGATTTTTACCCGTGAATCTTCACTTTGCGACTAAACTATTCACAGCAGTGCCAAATTTTTTTGAGTCACTGAATGTAGGTGCCATGGCCCTACCAGCAAACCAAAAATCAAATCAATGCGACCACTAACATTACAGCTGGGTCATGTTATAGAGAGGTACATTGAAATTCAAAGGTCAGCACAAATGGTCAAATTCCGACATTTTCTCACCTTCCTGCCCGTTCACAGCTCAGAAAATGACAATGACCAGCCTCATCTCGTTGTGCAGCTGGACATAGACAAGTGCACCAAGAAAAAGAGCCACATTTTTCTAAAGAACTTGCACAGGGCTACTGAAAGCTGAAAAATAACAAATCTCACAGTTTGGGGCTTTTTACCCTTGAATCTTCACTTTGCGACTAAACTATTCACAGCAGTGCCAAATTTGTTGGGTCACTGAATGTGGGTGCCAGCGCCCTACAAGCAAACCAAAAATCAAATCAATGCGACTACTGACATTACAGCTGGGTCATGTTATAGAGAGGTACATTGAAATTCAAAGGTCAGCACAAATGGTCAAAATCCGACATTTTCTCACCTTCCTGCCCGTTCACAGCTCAGAAAATGACAATGACCAGCCTCATCTCGTTGTGATGCTGGACATAGACAAGTGCACCAAGAAAAACAGCCACATTTCTCTAAAGAACTTGCACAGGGCTGCTGAAAGCTGAAAATTAACCAATCTCACAGTTTGGGGCTTTTTACCCGTGAATCTTCACTTTGCGACTAAACTATTCACAGCAGTGCCACATTTTCTGGGTCACTGAATGTGGGTGCCAGCGCCCTACAAGCAAACCAAAAATCAAATCAATGCGACCACTGACATTACAGCTGGGTCATGTTATAGAGAGGTACATTGAAATTCAAAGGTCAGCACAAATGGTCGAAATCCGACATTTTCTCACCTTCCTGCCCGTTCACAGCTCAGAAAATGACAATGACCAGCCTCATCTCGTTGTGCAGCTGGACATAGACAAGTGCACCAAGAAAAACAGCCACATTTCTCTAAAGAACTTGCACAGGGCTGCTGAAAGCTGAAAATTAACCAATCTCACAGTTTGGGGCTTTTTACCCGTGAATCTTCACTTTGCGACTAAACTATTCACAGCAGTGCCACATTTTCTCGGTCACTGAATGTGGGTGCCAGCGCCCTACAAGCAAACCAAAAATCAAATCAATGCGACCACTGACATTACAGCTGGGTCATGTTATAGAGAGGTACATTGAAATTCAAAGGTCAGCACAAATGGTCAAAATCCGACATTTTCTCACCTTCCTGCTCGTTCACAGCTCAGAAAATGACAATGACCAGCCTCATCTCGTTGTGCAGCTGGACATAGACAAGTGCACCAAGAAAAAGAGCCAGATTTCTCTAAAGAACTTGCACAGACTGCTGAAAGCTGAAAAATAACAAATCTCACAGTTTGGGGCTTTTTACCCGTGAATCTTCACTTTGCGACTAAACTATTCACAGCAGTGCCACATTTCTGGGTCACTGAATGGGGGTGCCAGCGTCCTACAAGTAAATCAATAATAAAATCAATGCGACCACTGACATTACAGCTGGGTCATGTTATAGAGAGGTACATTGAAATTCAAAGGTCAGCACAAATGGTCAAAACCCGACATTTTCTCACCTTCCTGCCCGTTCACAGCTCAGAAAATGACAATGACCAGCCTCATCTCGTTTTGCAGCTGGACATAGACAAGTGCACCAAGAAAAACAGTCCCATTTCTCTAAAGAACTTGCCCAGGGCTACTGAACGCTGAAAAACAACCAATCTCACAGTTTGGGGCTTTTTACCCGTGAATCTTCACTTTGCGACTAAACTATTCACAGCAGTGCCACATTTTCTGGGTCACTGAATGTGGTTGCTAGCGCGCTACAAGTAAACCAATAATCAAATCAATGTGACCACTAACATTACAGCTGGGTCATGTTATAGAGAGGTACATTGAAATTCAAAGGTCAGCACAAATGGTCAAAATCCGACATTTTCTCACCTTCCTGCTCGTTCACAGCTCAGAAAATGACAATGACCAGCCTCATCTCGTTGTGCAGCTGGACATAGACAAGTGCACCAAGAAAAACAGCCACATTTCTCTAAAGAACTTGCACAGGGCTGCTGAAAGCTGAAAAATAACCAATCTCACAGTTTGGGGCTTTTTACCCTTGAATCTTCACTTTGCGACTAAACTATTCACAGCAGTGCCAAATTTGTTGGGTCACTGAATGTGGGTTCCAGCGCCCTACAAGGAAACCAAAAATCAAATCAATGCGACCACTGACATTACAGCTGGGTCATGTTATAGAGAGGTACATTTGGGGATTTTTACCCGTGAATCTTCACTTTGCGACTAAACTATTCACAGCAGTGCCAAATTTTTTTGAGTCACTGAATGTAGGTGCCATGGCCCTACCAGCAAACCAAAAATCAAATCAATTCGACCACTAACATTACAGCTGGGTCATGTTATAGAGAGGTACATTGAAATTCAAAGGTCAGCACAAATGGTCAAATTCCGACATTTTCTCACCTTCCTGCCCGTTCACAGCTCAGAAAATGACAATGACCAGCCTCATCTCGTTGTGAAGCTGGACATAGACAAGTGCACCAAGAAAAAGAGCCACATTTTTCTAAAGAACTTGCACAGGGCTACTGAAAGCTGAAAAATAACAAATCTCACAGTTTGGGGCTTTTTACCCTTGAATCTTCACTTTGCGACTAAACTATTCACAGCAGTGCCAAATTTGTTGGGTCACTGAATGTGGGTGCCAGCGCCCTACAAGCAAACCAAAAATCAAATCAATGCGACTACTGACATTACAGCTGGGTCATGTTATAGAGAGGTACATTGAAATTCAAAGGTCAGCACAAATGGTCAAAATCCGACATTTTCTCACCTTCCTGCCCGTTCACAGCTCAGAAAATGACAATGACCAGCCTCATCTCGTTGTGATGCTGGACATAGACAAGTGCACCAAGAAAAACAGCCACATTTCTCTAAAGAACTTGCACAGGGCTGCTGAAAGCTGAAAATTAACCAATCTCACAGTTTGGGGCTTTTTACCCGTGAATCTTCACTTTGCGACTAAACTATTCACAGCAGTGCCACATTTTCTGGGTCACTGAATGTGGGTGCCAGCGCCCTACAAGCAAACCAAAAATCAAATCAATGCGACCACTGACATTACAGCTGGGTCATGTTATAGAGAGGTACATTGAAATTCAAAGGTCAGCACAAATGGTCGAAATCCGACATTTTCTCACCTTCCTGCCCGTTCACAGCTCAGAAAATGACAATGACCAGCCTCATCTCGTTGTGCAGGTGGACATAGACAAGTGCACCAAGAAAAACAGCCGCATTTCTGTAAAGAACTTGCACAGGGCTGTTGAAAGCTGAAAAATAACCAATCTCACAGTTTGGGGAATTTTACCCGTGAATCTCCACTTTGCGACTAAACTATTCACAGCAGTGCCAAATTTTTTGGGTCACTGAATGTGGGTGCCAGCGCCCTACAAGCAAACCAAAAATCAAATCAATGCGACCACTGACATTACAGCTGGGTCATGTTATAGAGAGGTACATTGAAATTCAAAGGTCAGCACAAATGGTCAAAATCCGACATTTTCTCACCTTCCTGCCCGTTCACATCTCAGAAAATGACAATGACCAGCCTCATCTCCTTGTGCAGCTGGACATAGACAAGTGCAGCAAGAAAAAGAGCCACATTCCTCTAAAGAACTTGCACAGGGCTG